TGTGTGTCCTGTTTGCTTTTAGCTTGTAGATAATCACTTTTATCCGTTCAAATTCAATAAAAAACACTTTGTGTAACATGTGTTACATATTTTGCGATAAATAAGATATTTGTAGGATTAATTATAAATGCTTCTTTTCATTTTTTTATTGTCTTTATTGTTCCGAACAATGCCACACACACAAAAAAACCGGAAAATATTAAAAGTGGCGAAAATTCAATTTTTTGGTATTTTTTCCAAAAAATTCCCCAAACTATCGGAATGTTTAGATTTTCATAAAATTAACTCTACATAGTTGCATAACCATTATATGAAAGTTTCAACGAATTTTGCTGGTTAATTGCGAAAGTGTGGAGCCACCTTAACGAAGCTTTGACTGGGTTCGCCGAAGAGCCACGACGGACCGCTTCTTTGATGGTAACACGTGCGCAAATAATGTATCTTTTCCCCTTGCTAAATGATACTTCTTTATTAAGATAAAAATCAAGAAGAATATTTTCGGGCAAACCAGTATCATGAAGAACAAAAACGAAATTAGTATTTTCCAAAACTTCCCTCAGCAAAAAGGAAACAAGTTTTATAGGCCGAACAATATTTATGCTTCGTGACGTTATTATTGATGTCATTAGCAAACTATGCTTCAGTCTTCCTTGTTGATTACATGTTAAAAAGACATGGGGTACACTGTGTTCATTTGGGATGATATATTGCAATTTAAAAACTACGTTGTTTCCACACTTTGCTCGTTTCATATTTCTTTTGTGATTCCATTTCATGTGATATTGATGAAACGAGCCTTCAAGAGTTCTGCTTTAGACGCTAAATAGGAAAATTTCGGGATGAGCTTTAATAATCTATTAAATGTACACGTTAGAAATGGAAGCTAATTATAAAAAAAAACAAGAATGTGAGAGAGTTGATCTAAATCTACAAAGCGCTGTATATATATATGAGGATTGGACCAATCATACATGTACATTTTATAATAGATTCTCGGGTCCCTGTGCTACAAACCTATGCACATTTTAAAACTAACGGGCCTAACGTGTTGGCTTGTCACAGCGCTGTGAACACATTCAGAGTTACATATACCAAAAATTGTAACTTTTAGCGTCTGGCGAGCGAAGATCAAGAAACAGGACTATTTACGTGTCTGACATAGATCATAAAAGGAATTCGAAGGATACCTGTAATGTAGAAATGTACAAACAACAGTATCAGTGATCTTCAATAGAAAACAAATTGTCGCTATGTAGACGAATGTCTTTGTTAATATTTACTCACCCATTTGCATTGTCTCCCGACACATCGGGATTCTCCATTGCGGTTTTGTTTTATAACAAATACACCTCGTCCCACTTACGTCAGTTTCCTTGTGTACACCTAGAGAGTGTGTCTGCGCTAAATATAGACCTTTTTTGTGTATACACACGTACATTACATATCAAAACAAAAGTTTAAAGATAAACATAAGGAAAAAGAAAACATAGATTAACATGACGTGAATGTTGAACTAAATCTACAATAGATTAAGCTCATATCGATTTTGATATTTTAGAAGGTACACAAAGGGGAAATTATATATTTCTGATATGTATATAGTGTTAAATATACCTAATACCCTTATGATGCCCCAGTAACGTTGTGTTAATGATATATATGTTATAGATAACACGGATGACCGTTACGTACTTCCTCAATATTCCAGTTGATACACCCTATATAGTGATATCGTGTCACGATTGCGACCATCAAAGCCAGGGTATCCAGACACTAATCTCAAATGTAATATATTATACCTGCAATAAAACTGGACACACGCACACTCTCGCAGTATACCCATCATTGTTATCACAGGCTACCATAAACCAGCTAATGCTCGTAGACAAATCCTTTGATTTGTACATTTGAAAAGGCTTTATCAAAAATAGTATAGAAGCAGTCTGCGCAAAAATCGATTGATATTTTTCTTGTTGATATAATGTTAAGCATTGAGCACTTTTCCCGTATACCTTTTTAAAGAAAGACAGAAAGAAGACCATGCTTTTTATTTTTAAAGAAAAAATGGTAATAATAGTCTTTAATTATACTCAGATTTTTCAGATTTCAGATACTTGATGACAAAGTTGAGTCAACGACTCATCTTTCACAGAGACATATAAAGCCATCTAGTCTCTGTCTTACATTTGATCAGGCAGTCATCAAAACAATAATTTACAAAATACTATGGTAAGTTGTACTTCTTATACCTTAGATTTGTTTATATATATTTGTCATCTGTAGATTTATAATTCGAAATTAAAGATATTAAAATTCAAATAATGTTGTGGATGCTTTACAAATATCGGGACCCTGGTATGCTAACGATACGTGTGAGGAACGGCAGGTCATGTTTTATTTGATATCATCCCTTTAAATTTCTTATATACACTGTTATGTCCATAATTTTGCGTACTTCTATTTTCAAGGGATTCCGGACACGTTTTAATTAAAACAGCCTTCTTGTTTCCTAAATATTTGTATAATGTTTCTTTTTACCGGTGGAATCATTTTTCATTTTTGGAATATAAATATATGCACACTCCCGGTTGTTTGTTGTTGGTGACGTCACTACGGTGTTTGTTGGATTACGTCATAGACATACGTCAGCAATATTGTTACGTTAAAGAATTGTACCCTCAAAATAAAATCATTCTCCTGACGAGCTGTAAAGCAGTGAAATGCCTCTATAATTGATCTTCTTGTGATTTAAAAAAAGTGTAGGCGTTGATATATATTGATGTCGATTGCCTTATCTACAAAAAACCCATATTGAATGATTCAGTGTCACTTACCACTATAAATAGTGACACACAAGTATTCGATGTCTATACATTGTCGCACGGTAGAGATTAGTACTGTACACCGACATATACATCGGCAGTCGTAAGGCTAAAAAGGTTATCAGGCGATCCCGGAGACGTCTCGAGTGAATTCCTGTAGAATAGGAATGCATGCTTGTAACGTTGAGTACTTGTCTAAGTATTTCCTTGTTTCTTTTTCATTTTCAATGGAATCCTGTGTTTACACCACGAAACCTTTCTGACAAAGACATCATCATTGTCGTTATATTTTATCGAGTTAAACAACACTTAAATGTGTTAACAAACTACTTATACTTATCAGATTACACCTGTAACTACAGTTTATCAATGTTCATGCTATTAACATTTCCCCTTGACTTGTGTTTACCTACAACAGTCCACCTGTGAATTAATTAAGACTATGTTTGCCCTGACACAAATACGTTTTTTTTATAGACATATTTATGTTAAACTCAAGTAAGTTGAACATGCATATTGTGCAAAAGACTTTTCATGAAGATGATTAGGAAAGAAGCGCTAACATATGTTTTTGTTTATATATTTCTCTAAACGCATGTTCAAGGGTCAAGAGTTAAATACAATCTCCATTTAGCGTCGCATTAAAATGACATAAAACCATTAGCATTGTGGTGCTGTTATTGAGTAAAACATAAGTGTAAGTCATCAACATAACAAAATATATCTTTTAAATCAGTTAATAAACACTCATAGTGAACAGGTAATTTTGAATCTGACAAATTTATATTGTATCAAAATGGGTACACAATGTTGTACAATTGACAAAAAAGAGATTAATATCTTCATGAGCGGGTTAGTGGAGTGGTTTACACTCCGGCCTTCTACACAGGCGGTCGGAGACCTATCCCCGAAGTCGTCGTACGCATGGAGAGAAAAGTGTTTTTCTCCTGTCCATACAACTCCAACAACCCAGCTGGAGTATAAAATGGTCTGGAGTGGATTTTGCGGTATCTGTGCTGTTGCATTCAAGTGACACTATAAATGATACCAACGCATGCATACACACATAGTGAGATATTAGCCAGATGGCGTAAGACTAGTAGTGAGCGCCTGATAAGGCAGCTCCTACAAATTCCTCCAAGTTATATTAGCACAAGTATATGCTAATTGTATTGATTGTATACATTGCATTTTTACTGTAAAGCACTTTAGAGTGGCTTAATTTAGCTAGATAGTGCGCTATATCAAATGTTGTATATCAGTATTATTATTACAACCTTATAAAGGAGATAATCGCCATAGCTGATGGAATATTCGGAAATTTGGATCACCCAGATGTTGTTTAATATACATAGACGGGTTTCATTGAAGATCAGTTTTGTTTTGTTTGGGTTATTCTATTAACAGTTATGTCATTTAAGGATGTACTTCCTTGTGTGTAATGCATACGTGCTTGTGTGTATGTGTGCTGAAGGCAAGGTATGTTGGTGTATTTGCCTCCCTGTGACAGCGCGGATCTGATGCCGACTTGATAGTGCTACCTCGCTGAAATACCATGCCGATATCATCCAACATAGTATTCCACTCGCTACGGCTGCTCAAGCGGTGTGTAAGTAAACTTTTCCCCGTTCATACTTGCATGAACATTGGAAAAATTCATATTAATTTCGCATATGATTTGTTTGGCAACCACTTATTGGCTGATTTCCTTGTTTGAAAATGCTTTTCGATTATCTTATCTGTCAGTTGTGGTATAATGTATATTCTCTTTTGGCTTTGCATATTCTCAGCGATTTGTTTTGTTTCAGTGGTAGGTTTGATATTTTAACCAAATACTCTACGCTATTCCTTGTCTTGACATACTCTACATTCTTACTGTGCTCCTCAGAATCTCCCCCAACTTTGGTAATTTTGTCTGATTCATTTTTTTACGCCTACTTCTTGTATGTCTTTTCTTACTTCGTCTTTGATTTTCGGGATGTGGATCTCTACTGAAAACAATAGAAATGTACGTTTTTTTTGTCTTTATTTCATTGTTCAAAGATATGCTATAAAATATTGTTTTGGTATGGTTGAGTTTTCGCGATTACAAAATGCTTCGAAAAAATAGCACCCTCAAAATTATAACAATTCTTCTACTTCACCATTTGAGATGGCCACTGGGCCTGAAACATGCGATAATTAGATCACACAAAAAATCAACAATTTCAGCAAACCGTGAAAATAAGGGACCGCGAAAACCCCACACTTTCTTTATATAATCTCACTTAGTTATCAGATGTAGCCTCATTTGTAGATAGTCCCAGTTGATATGTTGATATGCATATCTGGCGAGACCGCTTTTGAGATCTAAATTCACAACCATATTTCCTTCGTTCCTGAATATTAAATTCACGAGACAGGACTACTGGTTAATTTCTTTCCTCGTTAGGTGTAGCTTTCACGTGCTGTAAAAGAAACATATCACTGAAGGATTCAGTGACTTCTTGCTGATGTTTTTTTTCTTCTGTTTTGCAGTTCACCATGTTGGTATGTCTATTGTTGAAGCCTGCTAAAAATATATATGCAGGTATTTGCAGTATCCTACTACCAGTACCATATCGTTTAAAATGTCCTATATTTTCCTCGGCGTTGTTCGTATAAATTCGTAAGACCAATTAGAGTACTGATCAATATGGATTATTAACTATCCAGCGAATTAATCAACCAACATCCTACTAGAAGCTTTGTAAGTAAATACAACTGTTCTTTGTTCTGAACCACAAAGGAAATTAGTTTCATAGATACAATTAAAAGACGCTCACAGATAACGTATTTGATACTTAAGAACATGGTCGTCATTCAGCAATCGACACAAGTGTCTTTGTGCCATATAAAACGTTTTATGACAAAACAAAAAGACAAATACCGAAATCTGCAGATTTCATATGGTTACTGGACATGTTATACCTCATTGAATATAGTATTACTCCTTATTTCGCTTTAAAAACATTGCTTTGTTTTGAACTGTAGGCCTTTTTATAGACAAAATAGATTCAATAAACTCAAGTCGATTTCATTTTCGACCATAGGTTCCATTATGACATGCTCTTTGTCATCTATGTCTACACAGCAGCATTAGGTGTTTGTAAGACTCTCATATGGAACAGGGTTCTGGGTTACATGTAACATATACACCAAGAGAGGTAGCTCTCAATTTTGTTAATTAAACCTTTTTTTTTCAACATATCTTAATGTTATATCTAATAATGTTAGAAAAAATGACAAAAAAATATCGCTTCCTTAGAGCCTGATAATTATCTGTGTCAATTTTGAACAAATGTCTTTCACTCTAGATTTCTAAACAGGCTTACTCCCAACATCTTGATAAACATGTACCAAACATATCAAATACATCAGAAGAAAGAATTAAGTTGTGTCTAAAACCCTCATAAAAGTACAATTAGAGCTTCATTTAATTTAATTTGAATTTTCTTTTTGTTATGCCGCAAAATCTACAATCCAATTCTAACAGTTCACTTTTAAAGTTGACTACAG